GTAGTAGAGCCTGCCCTAATGACCACATGTAGCCTCTTCACCTCTCGGAGACGCTCTCCGAGTACAGTCACTCTGAGGCACACAGGATTTGCGGGAAGACAGTTGAGTCCCGTGACAGTTGTGGGAAGACAGTTGAGTCCCGTGACACAGCTAAGTGAAGACACCCTGGGTTTGCCCTCTTCACAGTGTCCCTTCCCTCCGTATCAGACTTTCGGTCTCAGTCTCCTTCTTAGTTTGTTTCCTGGTCTGCAATTTGGTGACCTTGAGGACTCCTGAGAGATTGTGAGAATGTGACTGACTTCTTAACCAAAAGGTTTGATCAAGATAAGAGATAGCTGGGTCCAAGGCCAGGCGCGGTGGCTTGGGCCTGTAATCCTAGCATGCTGGGAGGCCAAGGTGGGAGGATTGCTTGAGTTCAGGAGTTTGAGACCAGCCTGAGCAAGAGTGAGACCCTGTTTCTACAAAAAATAGCCAGCAGGGAGGCAGACACCTGTAGTCGCAGGTACTTGTGAGGCTGAGGCAGGAGGATTGCTAGAAACCAGTAGTTTGAGGTCTCAGTGCGCTAAGATGATGCAATTGCACTGTAGCCTGGGGCAGCAGAGTGCGACCCTGTCTCAAAGAAAAAAGAAGAGTTAGCTAATTCCCTCCTTGAGGGCTTGGCCTACAGTTTTTCCACTATATCTTTCATTTGGTATCATTTTCTTACATATGACTAAGCCGTCAGCATAATTGCTGACAAGGGTTTAATAAAGTACTAGAACATAATATTGAAATAAATACTGGTTGAAGAGGTTGGAAAGACTGGGTTAGTACCCTCCAGTTGCCTCAGCCTGGGATTTCTTTCTCCTTGTGCTCTATGTAAGTTGTGTCTCGTACGTCATGAGAGTACAGACTCCCCGGGTTCAACCCTGTAGTGCATAGTTCAGTTCCTCAGAGGCCCTGGGGAGATTATTTAACCTTTCTGTGCTACAGTTTCCTCATCTGTAATGTAAGGGGAAATAACAGTCCTTACTTCATAAGAAGAATGTAATTGTAAGGATTCAGAGGTAATAATTCTCTCTCCCTCCCCCCACTTTTTTTTTTTTTTTTGAGACAGAGTCTCACTCTGTCGCCCTGGGTAGAGTGCTGTGGCATCATAGCTCACAGAAACCTCAAACTTTTAGGCTCAAGGAATCCTCCTGCCTCAGCCTCCGGAGTAGCTGGGACTATCGGCGCCCTCCCCAACACCCAGCTAGTTTTTCTATTTTTAGTAGAGACTGGGTCTCACTCTTGCTCAGGCTGGTCTCCAACTCCTGAGCTCAAGCAATCCACCCACTTTGGCCTCCAGAGTGCTAGGATTATAGGCATGAGCCACTGCATCCAGCTCAGAGGTAATAATTCTAATAAAGCAGTTGGCTTTGTTGCTGGCCACAGTTCCTGCTCCTTCCGTGAGCATGCGTGGTCATTCATGTCTGTGTCTTGCCCTCTCTCCTTCCCCTGCCCCACTCACCCTGGGCTGGCATGCAGGAAAAAGCTGTGTGATTTAACTGGAGCTTTATAGGCATGAACCTGAGTATGTAAACTGGGTATCGAAGCAATAATGGGGTTGTTTGGGACTAGATGAGATAATACACATAAAGCTCTCAACATGCATGAGGTAAAAACCCGTTCTTTCCATTTTGGAATGTGAAACTGGAAAACAGAAGGTAAATAAATGCACTGTGTTTCAGATGTCTTTGTAAATTACCTCGCTTCCTATCCTTCCCAGACGGGCTGCCTGATCACCTGCACACTTGGCACCTCTGTTTGTAAAGTCTAGGATAATGTGTGCCGTTGTGATGATTGAGCATGATCCCCGTGCTCATGGAGTTCTACCCTTGTGTTGAAAATATTTACACGTTAATTGGACAGCGACAGGCACCTGTGAGAGTATTTACTCTTACCCTTACTGTCAAAACCGTGAGAACACTGTTTTGCTTCTAAAGTGCTTTAGAAGCAATGATTGCCTTCTAGAGGAAACCCGTGGGTAGCCAAACACCCTACATACCAACATCACTGCGGACACACTAGATTGGAGAATGTTTCCCTAGAATCAGCAGGTAAGTGTAAATTAACTTGGTTTGTGCTGGGTTAGTTTTAAGGAGCTCTTTTTACTGGGATTGGTGGGGGCTGAGATGAGAGAAGCTAAAAGAAGCAAGTAAACAAAAACCCCAGAGGCAATAAACACAAAATAAGTGAATAACTTTTTGCCCAGCACATACACATGCCTGAGGGTGTACGTGTGTGTAAGTATGTTGATCTTTGAACAACTCGAGGGTTAGGGCCACCCATACCCCATGCAGTAAAAAATCCTTGAATAACTTTTGACTTCTCCAAACTTAACTGATGGCAGCTTTACTGATACATAAACACTTGACACGTATTTTGTATATGTACTATGTATTGTGCTCTGACACTAAAGTAAGCTAGAGAAAAGAAAAGAAAATGTTACTAAAATCATGAGAAAGAGAAAATATATTTGCTGTTCATGACGTGGATCATCATGGTCTTCATCCTTGCTTCATCACACCGAGTAGGCGGAGGGGGAGGAAGAAGAGGGGTTGGTGGCGCCCCCTGGGGGTGGCCGGGGCAGGATAAACCTGCATCTGTGCAGGTGGAACCCATGTTGTTTGAAAGTCGACTGTACACATACATATTTATACACATTTACATAAGTATATAATGTCCATGTTTTAATAATAAAAAGTATTGGACTTTGGTTTAAAACAATCATCTATTTCAATCTGAGCTAGAAGAAATCTGGGGCAATAGCAGTTCACATGGAAAAGGCATTTTGTTGTCTGTCTGCAGCCCCCACCTGAGTTAGTGATCTCAGAAAAGTGAATTCTTGCTAAGGCTGATTTTCTTTGCAATTCAGAAAACACTTGGAGTTTTGTATTCAGTTCCTGGAAACTGAATTTTAAAATAAGGTTGTGTCGAGAACATCGTGACAAGACAGTGACCTCTTGTTAAATGAATGTTTTCAGGAAACTGGAACACTGAAGCTAAAAATGAGAAGACTTTGGATTCTGGAGGAGACGTGTGATGGTTACGTGCTGTGTCTGAAGGACAGTTACTGACGGTGTAACCCAGCCTCTGTTCTGTAGCTCAGAGCGGAGAATTTACTCCTAGTGGGGAGTTGTTGTAAAATGAAAGGGGGTCTTAGGAGCTACTGCATTTCCTGTCCCTGCACTTCAAGAGGGGCTGAGTTATTAGACGATTTCTTCTTAGTGCTGGATTTATCTACAAGGGTCCTTTCCGAATCCTGAATTTCCCTGACTAGTTTCTTCCTACTGATCATTGTCATCTACGTTTCCCTTTTTCCAAGTTGTCTTCCTTCTAACTCCAAATTTTAATTTTTTTTGGAAAAGTTTTAGGTTTACAGAAAAATGAGAAGGAAGTAGGCAGTTGTCACATACCTCGTCCCTTCTCCAGTGTCTCCTATCAATGTCTTGCATTGGAATGGTGCATTTGTTACACACAATTGGGGAGCCAGCCAGTACCGATACCTTATAATAACTAAGCCCATAGTTTAAATTAGGGTTTGTTCTTGGTATTGTGCATCCAGTGCCCTTTGACAAGGGTATAATGACATGCGTCCACCATTGCAGTGTCCTACGGGACGGTTTCACTACCCTAAAAGCCTTTGCACCACCTGCTCACCGTCCCCCGCCTGAACCCCACAACCACTGATCTCGTTACTGCCTCCGTAATTTTCCTTTTCCAGAATGTCACGCAGGGGGAAACACAGTATCTAGCCTTTGCTGATTAGCTTCTTTCCCTTAGGAACATGCATTTACGTTACCTGCATGTCTTTTTGTTCCTTGAGAATTCATTTGTTTTTGTCACCTAATGTTCTGCTGTCTGGATGACCTGCAGTGTGTGTGTCCCTCCACCTATGGCAGCGCTTCTTGGTTACTTCCAAGTTTTGGTGATTATATTGCAGGTTTTCGTGTGGCCATAAGTTTTCAATTCATTTGGGTAATTCCAAGGAGCACATTGCTGGATCATTTAGTGAACACATTTGATTCTGTAAGAAGCTGCCCATGTGTCTTCCAGATGGCATAAGACTTGGCATTTGTGCCCTCAGTGAAGGAAGTTTCCTGTTGCTCCTCATCCTGTCCGGCATTTAGTGTTGTCAGTCCTGGGATTTAAGCCATTCAAATAGACATGTGATGGGCTGAGTTTTTCCTCATATTCAGATGTATTATCTCCAAATCACTATGAGAAATGCATTTAACACTACTATTAATGTAACATAGTACTATCATCATTCAAAGTTCAGGTAAAGAAAGATATTGGGAACAAGAGAACAAACTCTTATGTTAACTCTGCTATTGATAATAATAACAGCAATAGTAATAAATTTGTGAGTAATTTTCAAGTTTATTTTGAAAACAAATGCCGCCAAGGGGACACTCACAAGACATAGTTCTGATGATGTGTATAAGCAAGTGACTCAGAAGCCTTATGAACCTCTGCTTATCATCTCCTAACAGTTCCACCAGGTGAATTTTGGTTTTGGAGCCGTGCTCCTGATTCTTTGTTTAAGTTTTTAAATTGTGTAGGTTTAAGGTGTACAACTGGGTTTGATATATGTAGTCCCCGTGAATAATCACCACAATCAAAATAATTAGCACGTTCGTCACTTCTCAGAGTTACCTTTTTCAAGTGTATATGGTGAAAACACTTGAGATCTACCCTCAATAAATTTCCAGCATGCCCTGAAGTGTTGTCACCTGTGGTCACCATGTTATGCGTTAGGTCTCCAAAACTTACACACCTTGCATAACTGAAAGTGCACACTTTGCCCCACATCTGTTCCTTTCCTCCAGCCCCAGCCCTGGAGCCAGCGTTCTGCTCCAGATTCTGAGTCCGACTGCTTCGTAGATTCCACACTTAGATGAGATCGCGCAGTGTCTGTGTCTCTGTGACTGGCACGTACTGATTCTGGATTGAGGTTTTCCAATGTTTTTTTGCAGGTCTTTCAAGTGGCGTATGTCATCATTAAAGCCGCCAATGCCCCTCGACCTGGTAACTGGATTCTGGAACGTTCTGTGGATGGCGTCACGTTCAGCCCCTGGCAGTACTACGCAGTCAGCGACACTGAGTGTTTGACTCGCTACAATATAACTCCAAGACGGGGGCCACCCACGTACAGGGCCGATGACGAAGTGATCTGCACCTCGTATTATTCCAGGCTGGTGCCACTTGAGCACGGAGAGGTACTTTGCCCACTGTGAGCCCCAGCTGTGTGTCAGGGCGCTGCCCAGATGTCCTGATACCAATTGTAAGAGTCAACATTAAGGCCAGGTGCCACGGTGGCTCACGCCTGTGATCCTAGCACTCTAGGAGGCTGAGGTGGGTGGATCACCTGAGCTGAGGAATTGGAGACCAACCTGAGCAAAAGCAAGACCCCATCACTACTAAAAACAGAATAACTAGCCAGCTGTTGTGGCTGGGACTACAACTGTCTCAATAAAAAAAGAAATAATCAAAATTAAACACTCAAAATTGAGCCCTCTCAATCCAAACATCAAAGATCTTTAATGTAACTCTCTAGCTCTATTTAAAGTAGCCTTGAGTGTGTCTGTTGTGATTAACTCCGTAACCAGTCCATGTCTTTGCCCTGCTAGGATTTAATGACTCCATCACTTCCTACTTAAGAGCCTCTTTCCCGTAGCACCAGGGCAAGAACATTTCTTCAGATACTAAAGAGGAAGCTAATGTCCCTGAGAGGTGTGGTTGCCAGCTTTCTTTGTGAAGTTCTCACTGGGACACGGCTCTGGAAGTGGCATAGCCAAGTGTAATAAAAACTCAGATTGTACCCACCACACTGAGGTCAGAGTGTAATAAAGAATAATCCATTCTTTAGTAGCACCTGGCTTGATGAGACAAACGATAAGACCACAGAAACCCGAGTGCTGTGCACAGCGGGGTCTGCAGCAAGCCCTGTCCTGTTTCCAGAGCAGAAAGAAAGAGAACAGATACCATTAAGGCCCTGGCACCCTTTCCTCTTCTCCCCGGCCTATTCCTGTCATTTAGAATTTGCTTCAGAGAAGTCATTAGCCCAATGATAGATGTTGAAATATCCTCACTACTCTGGGAGAGATGTTCTCGGAGACCCTGACATGGATAGCTTCGATAAACTATGAAAATATGTTGAGATCATGGTAATTCATGAGTCGTCAACAAATGTCAAACAGATTTTTATAAGAAACTGGCTGCTTTGCTTTGAGTTTTAGTAGATAAATCGTATCTTTGTAAAGATTCTGTCCTGATGTTAGACACATGGGGCTATAGTTTGGCATGTTGAAGTTGACATGTGTTTATTTCCATGTCTCTTCCTCAGATTCACACATCCCTGATCAATGGCAGGCCAAGCGCTGACGACCTTTCCCCCAGGTTGCTGGAATTCACGTCTGCACGGTATATCCGCCTGCGCTTACAGCGCATCAGAACGCTCAACGCAGACCTCATGACCCTGATTAGCCACCGGGAGCCTAAGGACGTGGACCCCATTGTCACCAGACGAGTGAGTACAGGGCAGCCCTTCTGCCGTTGTGAGTATATTTTGGTTAAAAGAAATACTCCTTCTTCTCTCCTGTTCTGCTCTCCCCTACCCCACCCAGATTGGCCTTTTTTTCTTCTCATCTCTTAGATTCTTGTTTTCCTGGAGATTGTTAGATTTCATTTGTTACCGATGCTGCCGTTATACTAGACGATGGCACTGGCATCACAGCCTCGGCTCCTCACCCGGCCCGTCCCCAGAGTGCCATGGTCACTGATGTCAGCGTCTTTGTACTAACCCTTCTGGTCTTCGTCCTTCTGATCTGTGGCAAGTGAGGTTTTCTTTTGTCTCAAATTTTAAAGTTTGAGACATAATTTACATTCAGGAAAACGTACGTATTTTAAGTATAAGTATTCGAGGCTTGTGTGGACAAATATTCTTATATTCCTTCAGTAACCCAGGAGTGGAATTACTAGGTTACAAGGCATGTTTAACTTTCAAAGTAACCGCTAGACTTTTATCTAGGGTTGTTGTATCCCTTTGCTGTCTGACCAGCAGGGTGTGAGCGTTCTGGCTGTGCCGCCAGCTCTCAGGTGTTCGGAGTTGTGGTTGTTTCCACGCCAGCCTTTCTAAGGACACGTATTGGTGCCTTGTGATGTTAATTTGTGTTTCTCTGATGATGAATGTTGAGCTTATTAGTACACAGTGTCAGATACAGTTTTCTGGGCATTCTTAAATTGGGTGTTCTTCTTGTTATTGACTTATACAAGATCTTTACATATTTTGTGTACAAATTTTTCAGCTATGTGTGTGTATATACATATGTGTGTGCCTGGAGTTTGCATATTTGCTTTCCAAACTATGACTTTTTATGAGTAAAGGTTTTTTTTGTTTTGAGACAGAGTGTCATTCTTTCCCCCTGGGTAGACGTGAATTCCAGCAACCTGGGGGAAAGGTCGTCAGCGCTTGGCCTGCCATTGATCAGGGATGTGTGAATCTGAGGAAGAGACATGGAAATAAACACATGTCAACTTCAACATGCCAAACTATAGCCCCATGTGTCTAACATCAGGACAGAATCTTTACAAAGATACGATTTATCTACTAAAACTCAAAGCAAAGCAGCCAGTTTCTTATAAAAATCTGTTTGACATTTGTTGACAACTCATGAATTACCATGATCTCAACATATTTTCATAGTTTATCGAAGCTATCCATGTCAGGGTCTCCGAGAACATCTCTCCCAGAGTCGTTAGCAAATGTTTAATTTTTTGAAGTCCATTTTATCACTTTTTCTGTGTCTTCCCCCAAAATATTTTGCTTACCTCAGATTTACAAAGATGCTCTCATTTGCTTTCTTCTAGTAGCTTTATTATTTTAGCTTTTACATTTTAGTTTATATCAAATTAATTCTTGTATTTGGTGTAAGTTAAGAGTAAGGGCTCTTTTTTCCTCATACGTGTGTACAGTTGTTCCAGCACCATTTGTGAAGAAATCTTTACTTTCCTTTATTAAGTTGTTTTGGTGCTCTTACTGACAGCGATTCGACCTTATGATTGTGGGTGTCACTTCCAGACTCTCTACTATACTATTGGTCATTTTTCTATCTTTATGCTAATAACAAACTGTCTGGGTTACTGTAGCTTTATAGTCTTGAGGTTAGTTACTATATCGTGAAATTAAATCTTTTTCAAAATTGTTTTGGCTATTCTAGGTTTCTTATATTTTCTTATGAATTTTAGAATCACTTTGTTAATTCCTACAAAGAAAAAAAAGAAAAGGTCTGTTAATATTTTCAAGGGGATTCCACTGATTCTCTAGATAAACTTGGGAAGAATTTTAGAAGACATTTTAACAATATTGAGTCATCCCATTGATGAATGTGTTGTAACCACTTACTTAGGTCTTATTAATTCCCTTTGACCATGTTTTATTGTTTATTTGTAAAAGTCTTATTTAATAATGCAAGAAAAAGGACATCAGAGGCATACACATGGTCAAATAAGACTAAACTATCATTTATAGATGACATGATTGTGTATATAGAAAATCTGAAAAACTACCAGAAATAGAATTTATCAATGTTACAATATGCAAAATCAATAAACAAAAAGGAAAGCAAAATCTAAAAAGAAATCTATCAACACTAGCATGCAAATACATAAAGAAGTAGTGAGGGGCGAGCCTGTGGCTCCAAGGAGTAGGGCACCGGCCCCATATGCCAAAGGTGGTGGGTTCAAACCCAGCCCCAGCCAAAAACTGCAAAAAAAATAAAGTAGTGAGAACTAGATGTCTACCCAGAGGAACACAAATCATTTTACCACAAGGACATTTTCACTAGAATGTTTATTGCAGTTTAGTTCACAATTGCAAAGACATGGAAGCAACCCAAGTGCCCATCAGCCCATGACTGGATTAACAAACTGTGGTATATGTATACCATGGAGTACTATTCAGCATGAGAAAGAGACTTTACATCTTTGGGTTTACCTGGATGGAGTTGAAACACATTCTTCTTAGTAAAGTATCTCAAGAATGGAAAAGCAAATGTCCAGTGTACTCAATACCAATATGAAACCAGTATACAAACAAGTACATGCCCACATGAAAGAAAAAACACAAGTATAGTTAAGAGATGGGAAGGGAGGGAGGAAGAAGGGGGGGCGATTGGCGGGATCTCACCTAGTGTGCACACTCTGGAGGTGCTCAGCACACCCCCTAGGGGAAGGGCTCAACTGCAACTTGAACTTTACCTTGGAAGTGATAACAATGTAACCTAAACGTTTGTACCCTCATATTAATCTGAAATTAAAAAAAAAAAAAAGAAATGGTAAGACCGTATTTTAAGAGGAAAGCACTTTCTTCTGTTGATGTGATGATTTACATTTATTGATTTTTGTATGTTAGACTAACTGCGTTCCAGGGTAAATCTTGTTCCTGATGTATTATCCTTTTTATATAGTGCTATATTCAATTTCCCAGTATTTTTTAGAGTTTTCAATAGTACAGCTTTTGAAGATTACTGCTTTGGTTTAAGATGCAACCAAGTTGGGAAAATCTTTTTGACTTTTTGAGTTCTGCTGATGAGCTGATTGAGAATTATTTAATTGAGCACAAAGATCCCATGTGCATGAAATACAGCTTTTACATGTATATAAAATTATATTTCAGATTACAAGTAACAACTGTTAAATAACCTGAGATAATTGTTGATGTGTCCATACTTTCTTTTTATTGAGATAGAGGTTTTCATTTTTGTTTCTAACTTTCTTTTCCCTTAGTATTACTATTCAATCAAAGACATTTCTGTTGGGGGGATGTGTATCTGCTTTGGCCATGCAAGTAGCTGCCCGTGGGATGAAACTACCAAGGTGAGTTCTAGTATTCCACATTTTACTAAAACTTCAAAACAGATGTCACAGCTATAATATCTGCATTACTTTTTTATTCAAGGTTGAAAGGTCTAAAATCATTCTGTGTACACAAAAAATTGTCAGATGATTTAACTGGCTTCATTTTTTTTTAAACAATTTTCATTTTGCTTTGGTAATTAAGTCTTACTATGACTTTTTTGTAGCAAAATATCCACACATAAAATTTACTATTTTTAAGTGTAGTACTCATAATTCAGTGGCCTTATGAGTTCTGAACTTCATCTGTCTATAAAACAGTCAAGCAACAAGCAAGTGCAGTTATAAATTATGTTCACATATTTTAAAAAGAGGTCTTTCCTCTTTTTACTTTCTCCTTTTCCATTTTTTTGGTACTAAGTTGAGATAAAATAAAGTTCATTTGTTTTCACATAATAGTGACTTAATACTTTGACATCTTCTCCTTTTAAAATACTAACATTAAATTACTTCTTCTTTTTCTCCCAATCTTTGTAATTCTTTACCCTGTGAATAGGACTATTCAGCTGATGACGCTGGATGAGATATAGGTGAATATCAAGAGAATTATTAGTAGGTGCTTCCAAACCTTTAAAGTCCATGTATACATATTTTTTAAGTTTTTGTTAGTTAAATCATGTTTTAATTTTATCCCTCCTTCTGGTTATAACTGAGTTACAAGTTTATATTTTTCTGTTTGCTTTGCTATGGTCGCATAGCCTCTCCTGAGAAATCTTACCACATATTTGTCTAATAGATTCTTTTGTAAATAAAATTAAGAAAAGTAAGCAAGTTGAGTTTTCCAATCAAATTTGTATTTCTTACTGTTTAGAAGCTACAGTGTCAGTGTGAACATAACACTTGTGGAGAGAGTTGTAACCAGTGTTGTCCTGGACACCACCAGCAGCCCTGGAGGCCTGGGACCGTTTCGTCTGGAAACACCTGTGAAGGTCAGTGCACTCGCAGTGTGTTCTTCCTCCTAATACACACTTATGTGTAAGGTTTTGGTGTCTTAACAATTTTTATTGTTTAATTTCTTGTTTTCTCAGAAATTAAATAGTTTCCAAAGCTACAAGTTACCTTAATGGAGTTTAAGGTTCTCTTGTGGCCTAAATGTATCTTTATGGATTTGCTATTTTATCCAAAGTCTCCCTTCCCTTATACTCACTTATTCTTTATTAATTTGGATTTAATTTATAAATAGGTAAGGTAGTAACATCTAATAATACAGAAAAATATTCAGTAAAAAGTATTACTCCCACTTCATTTCTATCCTTTTTACCATTTTCTAGTGTATTATTCCTAAAATTGTTATGCAGATAAGGCAACATTAACATATTCCTACTCTCAAGAGAGTTCTTACCTAGAGGGTGATGTGCTGTGCACATCAGTCTACACATTGCTTTTTATATTTAACAATGGATCTTGAAATTCTTTCCATATTAACAATTTGAAATGCTGTTTTTCAAAACAGTATGGTGGGCAAGCGGGCTCATGCCTGTAATCCTAGCACTCTGGGAGGCCCGGGCTGGACCATCTCTGGAGGTCAGGAGTTTGAGACCAGCCTGAGCAAAGCAAGACCTTGTCTCTACTAAAAATAGAAAATTTAGCCAGGCGTTGTGGTAGGTGCCTGCAGCCTGAGCTACTCAGGAGGCTGATGCAGGAGGATTGTTCTAGCCCAGGAGTTTGAAGTTGCTGTGAGCTAGGTTGAGGCTCTGGTGCTCTAGGATGGGCAACAGAGTGAGCCTCTGTCTCAAAAAAACAAAACACTTGTACATAATTCTGTATTTAGACATAACATAATTTATTTAAACAACTATCTATCCATGAGTATTTTGGTTGTTGCCAGCTGGTTTTCAACATAAACAATGGTGCAGTGATTAACTCTGTTCTTGTCATCCACAAGTGTCTGCGTTTTTGTGTGAAATAAAATCCCAGAAGATAGTTTGCTATATCAAAAGAGCATGTGCATTTATTATTTTAATAGCTATTCCCAAATGTCCTTCCTAATATTACCTATATCCTATGATAATATTACTTATTCTAGAATTTTAATTTAATTTATAGTTAGAAAATTACTAGGGAGGTAAGGATCTTCTTTATACAGGACCTACTGTGTAAATTAAGTGAGATGTTGAAACGTTCTCCTAGAATGTAATTGTCACAATAAAGCCAAGGACTGTTACTATGATGAAAGTGTTGCGAATCAGAAGAGGAGTCTGAATACCGCTGGCCAGTACATCGGAGGAGGGGTTTGCATAAATTGCCTGCAGAACACCACGGGAATCAACTGTGAAACCTGCCTGGATGGGTATTACAGACCACACAAAGTGAGTGTTTCTTCACCACGCCGAGCTCTGCTGCCTTCTCAAGATGGAAGGGAGACTTTGCCGAGTCTCAACCTCTGCATTGGAGACTCTTTCCTTTGTAATGTTTCACTTGTGTCCTTGTTACAGTAGTGGTCTTCACACTTCTCTTTCCTGCTCTGTGTATTCTGTCTTCTTGCTCAAAGTAGGATGTTCACTTATTGTTATTTAACTTGAACTTGAGGCCTCATCCGCTTTGTAATCTTACATAATAATACTAACCGTAGACGTGAAAATTCAGCCAATAACTACAGCAGCTCTATCTTCTTGCCTATCTTAGGGGTGATCAGTCGATCTTTAATTGGCTTGAAGGCAGTGGTTTCAGGGTCTGTGTGGCTCTGAGAGGTGGCAGAGTGAGGGGGGTGGGTTGCAGTGATAGTAGGAAGGGGTGACACTTTGCTAATGATACTAACTGTTGTCACCAGCAAACTGATGTTTGTGGCTTCCCAGCTCGCGATCGTGTTATCTTCCTGTGATGTGTGCTCCCTCAGCACACAAAATCATGGTAATCATCGCATCTTTAATAAAAAGCTGATGCCTTGTCATTGGTGTTATGGTTAATACTGCTGTGACTTCTAGTCAGGTAATCCAGGACAAACTTGGCCTTTCAGGTTTCTCCTTACGAGGACGAGCCTTGCCGTCCCTGTGACTGCGACCCCGTGGGGTCCCTCAGTTCTGTCTGTATTAAGGACGACCCCCATGCCGACTTACACAACGGTAAGTTCGTGATTCATTTTTGTGCTTGTAATTGATTTTTGTGTGTGTGCGTGGAAGATTTGTACCTACTAGAACTGTTACTGTTGTGTAGCAGTTTGGTGATACACATATGATTCTTTGTTGGATTCTTCTATTCACTAAATATTTATCAAGTCACTGTTAGGACCTGGGAATAGATACTGGAACAGCATGGTGGGTACCCACAGGCAGGTATGTGGTAACATACTGCTGTGTAAGGATAGTGCTGTGGGCATAAAGCAAAATTAGAATTTGTGATTGGAGGGAGATGGGGTAAGAAGTGGACAAAGTGGGCTGAGGAAATGACATTTGAGCAGATAACTGAGCATTTGATGAAGGAAGAAACAAGGCTCAGTTTACAGCCAGACGTGGAACACGGTAAATAGCATTTGCTGTATTCAGCTCCTGGAAGACACTCGGGGCTTTTGCACACATCATCTCACAAAGCAAGCAAATCCTTTACTGAACTTGTAAATGTCAGTGTTCCTTCCCTTTCAAAAACTGGCAAGTGGACTTGCAAATACAAGAGTTTCCTGAATAGGTTACATCTGGTCAAAGACTTCTGTGACCCCATCAAATTCTCAGCCATCTGCCACTAAAAATGGATATTGACCAGCAGGGGTGGGTGGGCACCTGTGGGGCCCATCAGGAATGTGCAGGGCTGGTTACACAACTGAATCAATTCTTACATGAGACCGGGGGTGGGAGGGTGATGATGATGAAGGCGGTGAGGGTGGCCCTGGTGGCATTTACCCTTGATCGGGTTGATTTAAAAAATATATCACTTAAAGTTTTCAACACTAGCAGATAAAAATGGTTTAACCCATTTTACAGGCAAAGAAGCTGCAGCTCAGAGCAGTCAAGAAACGTGGCCAAGGTCACACAGCCAGATTTCACTGGCATTAAAAGCAGAGGTGGCACTTACTGCCCTCTGCCCTTTGCGTCTGTGCTGTCTTACAAAACTTTTTTATAATTTACTACTACACGTCCATTTAAAGTATACAATTCCATGTTTTGGGATATATTCGTGGGTGCAATCATGACCACAATCTAGTAGCAGAATATTTTCATGACCCCATCAAGAAACCTTTTGCCAATTAGCTGTCACTCCCCATTTCCCTCCAACCCCCTCCCCCCCCCAGCCCTTGGCAACCACATACTTACTTTCTCTATATAGATTTACCTATTCTAGACATTTCATGAAAATGAAACCATGCGATATGTTGGTTTTTATGACTGGCTTCTTTCATTTAGTGTAACATTCAAGGGTCACCCCAATTATAGCAGGTGCAATATTTCATTCTTTTTTATTGCTGAATAATATTTCATAATGCAGATATCCCACTTTTAATTCAGCCATTCATCAACTGATGAACACGTGGGTTTTCCTGCTTTGTGTCTTATGAGTAATGCGGCTAGGAACATTCATGTGCCAGTTTTTCTGTGGACATGTGTTTTTCTGTGGACATGTCAATTTTACTGGGCATTTACTGAGGAATGGAATTGCTGGATCACATGGTAAGTCCATTCTTAACATTTGGAAGAATTGCCAAATGGTTTTCCAAAGTCACCGTACTGTTTATGTTCCCCCCTCCCTCTGTGGCTTTTGTCTATTTTCTTTCTTTAAAGTAGGAGTTGGCAAACTGTGGCTCAAGGGCCAAACCTGGCTTACTGCCTAATCTTGTGAATAGGGCTTTAGTGGAAAAGAGCGATGGCCGTTTGCTCGTGTATTCCCCGTGGCTGCGTTTGAGCAGTAATAACTGAGTGGAGTAGTTGCAACAGAGTCTCTATGGCCAAAAAGCCTAAAAAATGCACTCTCTGGCCCTTTCCAGAAAACGTTTGCTGACCCTGCTTTAAACCTTTTACCTCCGTGTTGGGTCACTGCCATTGTTCTCTCTCCAGGGAAGTGGCCGGGTCAGTGTCCTTGTAAGGAAGGTTATGCAGGAGAGAAATGTGATCGTTGCCAACTTGGCTATAAGAATTACCCAAGCTGCGTCCGCTGTGACTGCAGTACAGCTGGCAGCGTGAATGACGATCCATGCACTGAGCCCTGTCTTTGTAAGGTAAGCAAGCACGGAGGTCAGCGACACCCCTGAGTTTTGCTTTGAGATTCTCTGAAAAAGGAACATGTTCCATTGGCTCCAACAACCAGTTCTTGGGCAAAACAGTTGAAAGTTTAAGAGAACTCCCTCTTGCCCTACCCTGTTGGGAAGTATAACACATCACGGCAAGTTGGCCACCTTGTGTATCTGTCCTAGGAGTTAGCAATTCCCACATATCTTAGAGGCATTTCTGTGTCTTCTTAGACGAAACTAACACTGCACACAGTTTCTTAAGCCTTGGCTTAATTCCTCTATGAAATTCTCTCCCAGCTTTGTATTTGGAGGAGAATCAGGTAGATACTAAATTCTGAGAACACAATTAAATATTTAGATATATTATTTAGGATTTATCTTTAAAAGGAGTTGAACAGTCATAAGAAGTAAATTAATATGGTGCCAATGAGAGGCGTTATTTGGCCATAAGATATTAATAACCAAGTAATTCATAGGATTTTCCTTTGTCCCTTAATGTACTTATTCCCATATGACAAAATCTGAGTCACATGTTATACATGAGCAAAAATTATCTTGACTATTTACGAATAGAATAAACAATTGGATAGCCCTCTTCAGATTTGAAAGTGCTTGAAGTATCAGCAAAAATGGAAGACTTAAAACAAAACAAAAGAATGAATATAAATGTAATGACCAGGCTCTAAGATCTCTAGCCTTATCCTTGAATACAGAAATCAAATATTTATTTCAAAGTATCTATCTGGGAAACATGACTTTGGACCTTTAGTTATCCGCCTGTTTCTGTTGTGGATCACTGGACACCGGTCTTGTCAGTGTCATCTTTTTCTATCTGGACACATTGGTTTCCAGAGTTGACCTTTTACCCTGACTTACAGGAGCACGTGGAGGGGAAGGACTGTGGTCGCTGCAAGCCCGGATTCTACAACCTGAAGGAGAGAAACCCCCGGGGCTGCTCTGAGTGCTTCTGCTTTGGTGTTTCTGACGTCTGTGACAGCCTCTCCTGGCCCGTCGGTCAGGTGGGAGGCAGCTGGGTTTTAAAGAACACATCATTTAGCCCACGATTTTTAAGGGCTGTGTTAGGAAGCAACAAAAGTGACTTCCCGTGTGATACTGCCATCGCGTGGGAGTGACACTGGCATGGGGCTCAGGGGCTCCTCACAGGCCCTAAGTTCCTTCCCTCATCCACTCCCCTATGGGGTGATAGTGCCCAAGTTCCTTCTGTGTGGAAATGCATGGGGGGCGTTCTGCTCTTAGCTCACCAGCCCCCACTGAGGGAACATCCCAGGGCACAGGGTTGGGAGACTGTAGAGACTCTCCTGGGGCAAGGCTGGGAACAGCAGCAACTGGCCCAAGGCTTATGAGCCCAGGCAAGTTGATTTTGGAATATGGATTTCTCAGGGGGAATGGGATTGTCCCCAAACAATGTCTAGGGACAGAAACAGTGTGATGGCTGGAGAGAGGGAGGGAGGGAGGTGCTGCAGGGCCCGAGGCTGAGCCAGTGAGACGACTGTGACCTCTATGCCACAGGGAGCACTGTCTATGTCGGTGACAGGTCGGGAGTACAGGAGCTGGAGATCATTATCTTTATGCATTTGGATAAAAAGCAGAGGGCAAAATAGAATGGGGAGTGAGTTAGCAAGAGACATTTTACTCGATGCATTTATTAAGTTCTTTGTTTTTTTGAAATCTAAAATATAACGTATGGTCTTTGTGGGTTTGCCCACTCACTTGCTCATCACTGATCCGCATTTGGGGTATGAGAGTCTGGTTCTCAGGTTTTCCTGGTCCTTCGACAGTGGAAGGGTCAAGGGCTGAGAGGGTCAGCAGCCACGCTGTGTGAGTACCCGCCCCAGAAGAGCATGCAGGGTCTGGTAAAATCTGAGTTGACTTCCATTTCATGTTCTAAAATTCTTGGATTGTTTTTTTTAAGGTGAACAATATGTCGGGGTGGCTAGTCACTGACCTGATCAGTCCCAGGAAGATCCCATCTCAGCAGAACGTGCTGGGCGGGAGTCACCAGATCAGCATCAACAACAGTGCGGTCATGCAGAGGCTGAGTGCCCAGTACTACTGGTCAGCTCCCAGGGCCTACCTCGGGAACAAGGTGCGTGGGCCACAGAGGCAGTGACGTCTCGGACAAGGGTGTCAGAGGGCATGGAGAAAGGCCTTCTGCTGCCGGCATTTTAAGTGGTCTCATTGGTCACTGAGTGTTTGACCAAGCCTGTCACTACCTTTACGTCAGTTACATGAGAGCTTTTTGGTCCCTTTCTGGGTTTTAATCACATCATTCAAACATGAGCTGCAATCCTTAGCCCAGCTCCTATGAGGTCTGTTTGGGGAAGTCTATCCCCTTCCCTGGACAGACTTTCCTCTTTTCTCCCTTGGGTGCCTGGAGCCCTTGGGCCTTCACGAAGTGTTAATCACGGTACTGCTGCATTCAGTCCGCCATGGACTCAGCTTAGCTTCCCGTGGCTTAGTAGACACATAAGTAGTATCTGGAAAACTTACTCAGGGCCATTTGTAGCAGTGGGACTGAGGTGCTGCCTCTCACTTTCAGGATTGTGGCAGACTCTTGAGCCTATGGAGTTCACATGGTTTTAATTTGAGGAATATGTCAAAATGAGGCCAAGTGCAATGGCTACGCCTGTAATCCTAGCACTCTCGGGGGCTGAGCCGGGAGGATTGTTTGAGGTCAGGAGTTCAAGACCAGCCTGAGCAAAAGTAAGACCCCCATCTGTACTAAAAATAGAAAAAGCAGGCAGGTAGACATGGTGGCATGTAATTATATTCCCCACTGCTCAGCAGGCTGAGGCAGGAGGACCACTTGAGCCGAGGAGTTTGAGGTTGCTAAGAGCTAAGCTGAGGCCTCTACCCAGGTGACAGAGCAAGACTTTGTCTCAAAAAACAAAAAAAGCACAGTGGTGATTCTGCAACATGGAAATTGTTTATAAGGCTGAATCTTCCCTTCAGTGATGTGTTTTCATCCTCTCCCCAGTTATGCAAAGATACATTTGGGGGACTCCTTCTCAATACAGGTCTCCACTCCCCTTACTGGGAGTTCGGTTTGTTTTAAAATTATGGTAAGCTCTCATAGTAGTGTAGCCTTATAGCTTGGTAAGTTCTTAACTTAATTTGATGGTTATATTTTAATTTTATAGCTTAGTTTTTATTTTGTTGTTTGTTTTTGAGCATAGTCTCACTCTGTCACCTGGGCTAGAGCGCTGTGAGGTCAGCCTGGCTCACAGAAACCTCAAATTTCTGGGCTCAAGTGATCCTCCAGCCTCAGCCTCCCGACTAGCTGGGACTACAGGTGCCCCCTCACAATGCCAGGCTAATTTTTCTATTTTTAGTAGAGATGGGTCTTTGCACTTGCTCAGGCTAGTCTCGAACCCCCTGAGCTCAAGTAATCCCCTGCCTCAGGCCCCAGAGTAGCTACGACTAGGCGCCCCCCACAATGCCCAGCTAATTTTTCTAATTTTAGTAGAGATGGGTCTCACTCTTGCTCTGGTTGGTCTCCAATCTGGGAGCCCAGGTGGTTTTCTTGCCTCAGCCTCCTGGAGTAGTGTGATTACAGGCATGAGTCACCATGCTTTGCCTTATTTTACATATTTTCAAGGAGCGCTTATTTTTGAATTTTTTTTTTTACATCAAATTACAACCCCAGAACATGTGTTCTATTTATAATATGATCGTATCAGCAGAGTTTAATGGTTCTTTTTTCTGAGTGAGATCACCTCTCCAACTTTATGGAGCAAAGCTGGCTTCTGACCATTATATTGTTGTAAATCTCTATTTTACATTAAAGGATATGTGATCAGGAAGAAATACCTTTGATCTTTTCTTTGATTAGCAGATCAAACATGTGCCTTATTGTTCTGCAAGGAGAACCGTGAAGTCAAAATGTGGAGATTGCAGTCAGGGGTCAGACTGCCTACCTGAGAATTATTTAAGTGAAATAAATGCCTATTGTATGATGAACAGAAGTCTGTAGTAATTTACCTTGAGGTCTCTGAGAGGAGTACCTTTTTTTCTGTGCATTTAAACAGTATCCTGCATTTTAGTAATATTGACTAAGCCAAGTATTATTTACACACGTGCTTTCCCTTCACTGCCTTTCATGGGCACCTCCTCACCACTATGACCGTGGGAGATCCTGGCCGTTTGCAGATGGATCCTAAGGGCTGCTTCCTCCTCCTTAGGGACTGGGACTGTTTTTCCCTTTGGTGCTCATTCTCTCTTCAATGTTTCAGCTGACATCATTTGGTGGATTCCTGAAGTACACAGTGTCTTACGACCTTCCAGTGGAGACAGTGGACGGTGACCTCATGTCACACGCGGACGTCATAATTAAGGTCATTACTTCTGCATTGCTTTGCTGTAGAGCTTAGGACTTAGTGAGGTGAGGGGCTGGGCAAGGCTCACCCAGCGAAGAGATGGTGGCCAGGTGGCCATCCTACAGGTGGCCTCGCATGGACCCCACTGAGATGCTGAGTGTGAGACTGTCTTTGGGCCCCTTCGAGAGTCCCCTCAGAACAGCACCTGCCACCCATCCCTCTGTTCCCAGGACATGCCCATCTTTTCACATTTTAAAAGGAGATGGGTTTCTGCTCTGACCTTGAAGCTACCCTTTAAGTCCCTTCTTTTCCCTTCTGCTATTTGGCCTCCCAAACCAACCAATAAGGCAGTGCTTGGCAATGCAGGGACAATAGGTTCTTTCCCATGTTGTCCTAGACCTCTGTCCTAGCCCCGAATCCTCACTCCTCACAAAAAGATCCAGCTGAGCTTCAGCCAAAGTGGTAACACCCTGGGGTCTGGGTCACGTTTGGGCAGAAACCACTTCACATTCTTGGCTTCAGTGGTCTCTTACCTGGAGAGACCTGTACTGCCTCCTCCAGCCTGAGCGGCATAGAAGGTAAATGAGTTTTGTTAACAGCAATCTTGTGAAAAGCTGGAGGTGTATTTCTATGCTTTTCCTTCTTCTGTAATTTAGTTAACTAACGATTAGGGGTGTCAGATGCGGTGCTGTGATAACAGCTGGGACAAATGCAAGGCTTTGTTTCTTTTCCAAGATCCCAGCAAAGTACACAGTCTTTCCATTTATTACCAAAGTCCAAGAACAATACAATGAAACCCCTTTGCTCTGAGGTTTCCGGGCCAAGAGTTTTGTACACACCATTATGTGTTTGCCACAAGAAGCTAAGCACAATGAAAAACCATGCTGCTGAATGCAAAATTCGATTATATTCATCAATAAACAGAGTTACAAATATATTTTCTGTTCTTTAAATGTTAGGGAAATGGACTCACTTTAAGCACACAGGCCGAGGGCCTGTCATTGCAACCCTATGAAGAGTACTTTAACATGGTCAGACTGGTGCCTGAGAGCTTCAGAGATTTCAATAACAAAAGGGAAATCTACCGAGACCAGCTGATGACTGTCCTTGCCAATGTGACACATCTCCTGATCAGAGCCAACTATAATTCTGCAAAAATGGCTCTTTACAGGTACGTATTGGAAAGAGAAAGAAACGTATGGTGAAGGTGCTTCACTCTATGCTTTATTATTACACCTTGTAAATTTATTTGTTATTTTAAGGATATAGCTTAAAGAGCTGGCTACCCTAAGAAAGTGTTCACTTTATAAATATGATTTTATTGATGATGTAAGCATAGTTGTCCGTGACAGGAGTATCTAGTAGGTGATGCACTTGATATTGAAAACATCAGAAGTTTTCAAGGAGGGTTTCCTAGAAATGCCTGATGAGTTAGCCATCATCTGGCCATGTGCCTCTGGTTCTCACTCTCAGCGTTAATGGCCGTAGGATTCAGACCCTCTGTTTAAGCAGAGGTGTCCACCTATGGTCATTGTATTACTCTGAGAAGGGCAATTTCTTGGCAGTGCCTTGCCAGACATCAGAGTTGGATGCAGCTAATACAACGTAGCATGATGCACTTACGGGTAGTCTGTGTACGATAAACTCCCCGTTATCCAGAACTCAAGCAACCAGCAGGCGACCCAGTGCCCCCTAGAAGCTCAGAGTTTAAGTTGGTGCCCTGTGCTCTCAGTAACCACACTTCCTGCCTCACTCCTGTGGCTCTGTGTGTTCAGCGTAACAGTTCTAGGGATTAATGTCTGTTACCTGAAGTTAAAGAAGTATGGTAGTGAAGTTGCAAGATGTATGACTGCCATTTAACTAAACTGCACGCTGCATTTACAAAGCTGTTTTGTAATATAGTAAAACTGTGTTACAGTAAGTAAAGTTTGCCTTTATTTGTCTTAACTGGCTTTTAATTAGTACATTTCAGTATCAGGTCAATACAGGTATAGTATGGGGCGTAGAATTAGTTCAGCCTCTTTTTAAGAGTAACTCGTGAGCAACTGGAAACTACATTAGATTATTCAGAATCTACCACTCCCTTTGGGTGCTAGATAATGGGGGTGGGTAGGAATTACTGTATTAATGATAAGATAATTGAATGGATTAATTTTTTCAAAGTGCTTCAACTCCAAATAGGCAACATCAGACCCTTCCCACAGTACTCTGTGGTCAATACAACTTCTTAGCACCAGATGCTGAAGGCATTTCTAGAGTCTAATGATGGCTCCCAGACAATGTGTTGTTACAGAAATCTTTAGTTACTTAAAAAAATCATCACATCACCATTTTGCTCAAGTTGGTCTTCACAGAGGTGTAGGCTGTCCTTTGTGAGTGTGTAAGCCACTTCACAGCCCCCATCTGTTACAGGTTGGAGTCCGTCTCTCTGGACGTGGCCAGCCCCAATGCTATAGACCTGGAAGTCGCGGCCGATGTGGAGCACTGTGAATGTCCCCAGGGCTACACGGGGACCTCCTGCGAGGTGACGCTTCTCCTCCTCTCCTCTCTCCCTTCCCTCCCAAGGGGAAAACAGGGCACTGTGGTGATATGACTGTAAACATTTGGATCTTAAATTTAGAAACTCATGTTTGGCTCAGACCTTTTTGGGCTGTAGGAGTTCTGAAAGTCTCACTGTTAAGAGAAATGTGATTCCTCCGCCAGGAGGGTGCAAGTTGGGGCCCTGGAAATCCCCTGCCTTAGTGCTGCCCTGTTACCTTACTCAACAGGAGACTTGTAATGCCCAGGTCATGTTTTACCTTTCTGAGGAGGATTGACCTTCTTGTATTTGAACATTTACGAATCACCTGTGGAGGATCAGCTGGCTTCGGCATTTTGAGACCTTAACGACCCTCCCCTTTTTCACTCTGGTGGGCGCCACCTCACAGGCGCGGTGGTAAAAATGCACTTGCAGTCATCCACAAAAGCATTCTGTGGCTAAAGGAATTTTGAAATTATTTGGACATATGCATTAATAATAGCTCTCTTCTTCTGAGAACTTTTTATGTATTTGGCACTATTCTAAGCTCTTTCCATAAGTTACCTGTTTTAATCCTGACAGCAACCATATCTGGTACTCCAAATACTCTCTACTCTATAGATTAGCAAATTGAGACTCAGTGAAATTAGATATTAATGACTCGGCCAAGGCCATACAGCTAGTAAGTGGTATAATGAGACTTGAACTATATCCCAGCTGCTAACCACCACGGAACGCTGCCGCCCACGTGTTTGTGACCAACTCTGATGATGCACATTCATCACTGGCTATGATTTCTGGGCAATCATTTTTATAAAGTGAGAAAATTTCAACTGTAATTTTGTTTTTATAAATCTTTATCAATCGTATACTTTGTAGTTAATAAATTTGGACTAATTTTTTTAAGAAAGTATTTCTATGTCTATTTGAAATATTTTGCAGTTTAGCTTTTATATTTTGGAACCAATGAATTTTTTTTTTAAGGTCCCAAACATTTGCTTTTCATCCCAGCAGATGTTTGTAAGTCCTAAGCTATGACCCTAAGGCCATGTCAGTAGGTGGGATGTGGGAGCAGGAGCCAGCTGCCTGCTCCCCCACGCAGGCAGGGGTCAATGAGCAGAGGCTGCCACGTACGCCAAGTCAGCTAAGGCTTTGTAGGAAAATGAGGCCACTGGGCACATATATCGAGAAACTTAATCTATGTTTTCAAGAGTTTTTATTAAGCAGAAGAATTCATTCTTTAATCACACTCTTCAGAAGCTGACTTAAAGAATCAGGCAGCTCTCAGTAGAGAAGGAATTCTCTACCACACAGCACTCCAGGCTCACGTCTCCTCAGTGCCCCTCTCTCCATGGGATGAGCAGATGAGGCCCCTCTCCTCATGAGACACACAGTTGGATGGAGGGGGGACTTCCACCATGCCTATGTGCATGAATGCCTTTATACGTTATTTATACAATTAAAATGCTCTTTAAGAATTCTTATAAGATAGGCTCATGCCTGTAATCGTAGCACTCTGGGAGGCTGAGGCCGGTAGATTGCTTGAGCTTAGGAGTTTGAGGCCAGCCTGTGCAAGAGTGAGACCCTGTCTCTACTAACAATAGAAAAGCTAGCCTGGTGCTGCAGCAGGAGCCTGCAGTCCCAGCTACTCAGGATCTGAGACAAGAGTATTGCTTGCACCCAAGAGTTTGAGGTTGCTGTGAGCTATAATGCCACAGCGCTCTACCCAGAGCAACAGAATGAGACTCTGTCTCTACAACAACAAAAAAAACTTTTCTTTTTTTTTTTTTTGAGACATAGTCTCACTATGTCACCCTTAGTAGAGTGCTGTGGTATCACAGCTCCCAACAACCTCAGACTCTTGGGCTCAAGCGATCCTCTTGCTTCAGCCTCCCAAGTAGCTGGGACTATGGCACCCGCCACATCGCCAGGCTATTTTTTTTTTTTTTTTGGTTGCAGTTATCATTGTTGTTTAGCTGGTCCAGGCTGGATTCGAACCCACCAGCCTTCGTGTACGTAGCTGGTGCCATAACCACTGTGCTATGGGCTCTGAGCTGAAAAAAGAATTCTTAGAGAAGACAAATCTAAGCCTCTTCTCCTATCCTCCCCTACCTGTGAGAGTGTGCTGGGTTCCAAGTTAATCAACTGCACTTGACAGCCTGTTTGGTGTCTGCTGGAGCCCTCTGCAGCCTACTGTGGGCATGGCCTTGGGGATGTGCACGCTTGACTTTGAATCATTCCACCAAAACACCCGGCACACTAGCTACCTGCTGTGTTCCACCTTCCATATCTACAAAGTAGAGGTACTATTTCTCAGGGTTGCCATGAGAGTTAAATGAATTTCTGCATATGGAGTGATTCTCTGCTCCTCACGGGCAATGCATGGCATCCTTAACCTATGTTAAGAGTTTTTATTAGGCAATGAAAGCCAATCTTAGCCCTCAGAAAGCACGTCTATGTTTGCTCAGTTAAATGGATGCAGTTTGACTGTATCCTGTACTTAATGGTGACCTTTAATGAATTATAAGCAAAGGGGGAATAAAAAAGTTGAAAGGAAAGAAATCCTGTTGTTTGAAATATTGCTTAGAAAACTAAACGTTCCACAATTTCTAGTTCAAGAGTATTGCAGTGAAATACGACTGGAAGAAAATACTACCCACCAATTAAATACAAAAGATCGGATCATTTCAATGAAAGTGCCACTATTTCTAACGTTGTATTACATAATATACCATAAGATTCATTGCATAACCATTAAGTTTTTAAGTGCGTGTTTCTACCTTGAAAAAGAAGTGAGAAACTAAATTACAGTGATGGTTACATAGCTCAGTAAGTTTACTAGAAATCATTGAATTGTACACTTAAAGTGGGCAAATTTTATAGCATGCAAATGATACCTTAATAAAGATATTTGAGAAAAAAGAAATAGGTTTCTGTGCTCATGGGCAGCTGAGCAGTTTATTTTCCAGTATGTTGGAGAGGAGGTGATTTGCCCTTTCTTTTCCAGTCATGCCTCTCTGGCTATTACCGCGTGGATGGGATACTCTTTGGAGGAATTTGTCAGCCTTGTGAGTGCCACGGCCATGCAGCTGAGTGTGATCATCACGGAGTTTGCATTGTGAGTCGATTGCTGAAACCCCAAATCTCTCTCCTCCCCATTCCAGAGCCACATACTGTGTAAAAGTGATTTTTTTAAAAAATGTTTCCTCAGCAGAATAGCCCTGACCTCATAGAACCCGAAGGAAATTCACAGATTTAAGTTCACGTCATGAAATGTTTCCTGGTTTTTGTTCCTATTTTTTTTAAAGTAACTTTGGTAGTAGTGGAATAAATATGTCTAATTTCATTACATTTTAGAACAGTGAAAAGTAATTATTTATTATTATTTTCATTTGCTAAGATTATGAAGCAATATGAGGGTAGAAATGTCCACTTATTAAATACAAAGGATAGGGGCTTTGCAATGAAAGTAGTAGTGTTTTTTAACGTAATATGCCATAACAATAATAATAAAACATCTAATAATCATACGAATTTGTACATTATACAGTGCCTCTCAGTTACTCAGGTAAACTTTTAAACAATGCCTCTTTCATGTGGCAAGTGTTGACACAGGGATTAACAAGTCCGTAGTTAATCTTGAGAATGCATTTTGAGGCAGGTAGAGGGCAGGAGACTTGTTTAACTTCCATCAGGAATTCTTTTAGGCCCTGTGCCTTGAAGCCAGGTCACACTCTGATCGGGTCCTGTGGGTTCACTCCTCGTAGCTGGAGTGACCATGTATGCTAATCAGCATACCCTCGTCACCAGGCAGGGAAGTGTTCCCGCTCTTTCCACAAGAGATTGATTAAGTCACACAGCTAGGGAAAATTTGTTATCAGACCCAGGGAGACGATCTCAGCATTGCATCCTGGATTGCTTATTGCCTCTAGAGCCAAATTTCTCTCTATCTGTAAAGCTTTCCTGCTGCCCTTAGTTCCTGTCTCTGCTCTGTAAGTGAAGCCCCTCGGATTGCGGGGAGTGGGGTTTGCAGCAGACTCGTTCCTCTAGGTTTGGTTTTCTTCAACTCAAAGCTTCCAGCACCTTGATGAGATGGTGGCTTTATTCTTGTCTCTCACTTCACTCTTTGGGTCCCAGATCTAGTCTTTCATAGGCTCCCTGCCAGCATTTGGGGTGTGGAGTGGGTTAGCAGGTGATGATGGTGCCAGTGATGGCTCTTGTTACAGCTAGGCTAAAAGCTTGAATTTCTCACACTTCTGTTAATATTATATTAATAAGGTCAGGCTTGGTGGCTCATGCCTGTAATCCTAGCACTCTGGGAAGCTGAGGCAATTGGATCCCCTGAGCTTGGGAGCTCAAGACCAGCCTGAAGACCCTATCTCCACTAAAAACAGAAAAACTAGCCAGTCATTGAGGCAGGCGCCAGTAGTCCTAGTTACTTGGGAGGTTGAGAAAGGAGGATTGGGCAAAGCCCAAGAGTTTGAGGTTGCTGTGAGCTAAGATGCTACAGCACTCTACCCAGGACAATAGAAAGAGCTTCTGTCTCAAAAATTAATTATATTAATATAATTTCCAAAAAATATAGTTGTATTAAAATGAAAATGCTAAATAGCAACTGGTCTTAAAGCTTTAAGTACCGTAAATCATAACAATTTTTATAGTTTTAAACATTGTTGGGAAATAATTTTAGATTTGCAGAAGAGTTACAAAGTAGTATGGGAGTTCCTGGGGAACCGCGGCTGACCTTGGCCCCGTGCTCCCTCCTCTCTCCATCCCCGAGCACACCTCTGTCCCCAAGAGTCACAAAGTTGTACTTTCCTAAGAGGGGGAACGTTTTCTGTATCTTTTCTTGTGTTTACCATTTCCAAAGCTCTTCATTCCCTGGTGTAAATCTATGATTTCAGCCGGTACCACCTTTCTGCAGCCTCAAGAACCGTTCTTAGCATTTGTCTCGGGCAGTGGTTCTCAACCTTTCTAATGCCACGGCCCATTGTTGCAGATTTCTTTGACGGCTGTTCAGTTGTTGTTTGGATTGCATTGTTTCTTGTCTGTGTGATTCTGAGTGTTCTGTCTTTTTTCTCTGTCTGCCTTTAAGATGTCTGTCTCTGGTTTTGAACAAATTGATTACACGCCCTGGTTGGGTTTCTTTATGCTCATCCTGCTTAGAGTGATGGAGCTTCTAGAATTTGTGAGTTTGTAGTTATCAAATCATGAAAATGTGGGGTTGTGTATCTTTTCTGCTTCCCTGCGGTTCCAATCTGTTAGTACCTGACATGACATTGACCCACTGATGGTTGATGCTGGGTTCTGGTTCTGCTAAGTTGCTTTCCCCCTCAGGTTTGAGTTTCTGTTGCTGTCTTCAAATTCACCGGTCTCTTCTCTTGAAGTGTTTAATTTGGTGTTATGCCCACTCATTTACTGTTTCATTTTGGATATGATTTCTTTTCTTTTCTTTTTTGTGAGCTCTAGAAGTTCCATTTGGTTTTATTTTATACTTGGATTTCTCTCTTCACTGTGTGTGTTTGTTCTTTTAAATCTTAGAATGTGTTTATGGTAGCTTTTTATAAATGCCTTTTGATTGTTATCTGTGATTACTGAGTGTGTTTCTAATGACTGATTTTTCTCCTGATTATAGATCACTTTTTTTTTCTGTTTCTTGTGTCTGGTAGTTTTCATTTCCCATTTAAAAAAAATATGTTAGTGGCCAGGTGCAATGGCTCATGCCTGTAATCCTAACACTCCGGGAGGCTGAGGCAGGTGGATCGCGCTGTAGCTCAGAAGTTTAAGACCAGCCTAAGCAAGAGTGAGGCTTAGACTCTAAGCAAGAGTGAGGCCCCATCTCTAAAACTAGCCAGGCCTAGTTTAAAACTAGTGGTGGGCCCTTATAGTCCCACCTTATAGTCTCAGGCCTAGTATAAAACTAGTGGTGGGCCCTTATAGTCCCAGCTACTCGGGAGGCTAAGGCAAGAGAATCGCTTGAGCCCAAGAGTTTGAGGTTGCTGTGAGCTGTGACACTACAGCACTCTACCAAGGAGACAAACTAAGACTCTTTGTCAACAAATAAATAAACAAATACACACATATTTTATTTAAATTTATCCAAAAGCTATAGAAATAAAAATAGTGCTTAGAATATCTACCATTTACCTAGATTCCCCTGTTTGCTAACATGTTGTCCATTTGCTTTAGTCGCCTCATGTTCTATCTTCCTATCCAATTATATCTTTTTCTAAACTACTTAAGTTGTGTATACTGTGGCCATTTATCCCTAAATACTTCTGTGTGTATATCCTCAGAGTAAGGGTATTTCCTTTTATAACCGTACCTCAGTTACCAACTTAAGAAAAGTTACCACTGACCCTCCATGTTTTCTTTCTTTCCTTTTTTTTTTTTTTTGAGACAGAGCCTCAAGCTATCCCCGTGGGTAGAGTGCTGTGGCATCACTGCTCACAGCAACCTCCAACTCCTAGGCTCAAGAGAGTCTCCTACCTCCACCTCCCAAGTAGCTGGAACCACAGGCACCCACCACAACGCCTGGCTATTTTTTGGTTGCAGCCATCATTGTTGTTTGGCGGGCTGGGGCTGGATTTGAACCCGCCACCTTAGGTTTATGTGGCTGGCACCTTAGCCGCTTGAGCCACAGGCGCTGAGCCTACCCTTCATGTTTTCTAATCTACCATCCATTTTTCGTTTTTGTTCGTTGTCCCAGTTACGTCTGACAGCGTTTTCCCCTCCAGTACAGGACCCTATCTGGGACCACACGTCGCATTTTATTGTTGTGTCTCTCCGGACTCCTTTACTCTGAAATGTTCCCACTGCTTTTCTTTGTCTTTCGTGAAATTGGCATCTTGAATAATACAATCATTTTGTAGACTATAATGTCCCTTATTCTGGTTCTTCTGCGGTTTTCTCGGGGATGGAATCAGGCTGTGCACTGCGGCTGGAATGCTTCCTCAGTGATGTGACTTTCCCAAGGTGCCTCCTGGGGCATGCTTTTAATTCTGATTACACAGACAAGGTGTTGGTCAGTTTTCCCACTACGTCTGAGGAAGACACATTAAGACCATGGTGTCATCCTACACTTCATTCGAATTTCCCCTTAGATTTAGCAGTCTGATGATTCTGGCCTGACCAGTACTTACTACTTACGTTTGCAAAAGGAAGATCTTCCCTCTCCAGCACTTGCTCATGCAGACTGTATCGGGGCATGCAGGGCCCTACTGTCAGCAGGACCCTCCCTTCTCCTCATGTTTATTTATTTACCTACTTGTTATCTCTCGTATTCACAGAATTCCAACATGCCTAGATGAGCCCTGGGGGTAGGGTATCTGGGATTTTTTGATCACATGATGAAGATTTTTCAATGAATTTTGTTGCATTGTTGAGTTTCTGGATTTTGTCACTCTCCTTTAAAGAACATGGAAGTTTGTTTTGGCAGATAGTTAAACTGCTGCAGGTCAGCTTGGTTGTTGGTTAGGGTGGGTCCAGGATAGCGTTTACTCTGTGGCTGGGTTAGCCCTACTGTTAAGGAGTTTCTTAGGATCTGTACTGAGTGCCGTGAGTTTTTCTCAGGGTTTTCCCATACTGACCAGTCAGAATTCTAATGTCACTTAGCTCTGTGTGACTTCTGAATTGTTCAGCTTACAGCGTACCTGTATTTCTTTGGCATCATGGAGTTTCACTGTGTACTTGAGAAGCTTAGTATTCAGTAGTCATATTCAAAGGGGTCCCCATGAAGATTTCTGGTGCTATTACTCTATGAAGCTCCAGTCCTCTGCCCTGACTCCTGCCTACTCCAGCCTCCCCAAACTCTGAGTTCTGTGTCCTCCACAAAGTAAGAGCACCATCCTCACTGGGGCTGCCCCTGCCCCCCGCATGCACCCCGAGAAGAAAGACCTGCAAGCACCGCAGGCTGTTGTTAGATGCATTTGTCTGGTTTTCTAGTGGGCAAGTTTAGTGCTTGTTACTCCAGCAGGGCAAAAGCTCTTGGCTTTCTCATTTATAAAAATTACATTATTTAAATGTAGTTAATCTGAAGATAGGTAACCATACTCATATAACTTAGAGTTTGGCAACTGGTTTAGCATTGTCTTTTTTTTTTCCATTTGTACTTCGAGTGTTTGTATGTGAACCTGAAAATCTGAGGGAACTCTGAGCTGATTCTTCTTTTCATGCTTATGCCTTAGGCGTGCACGCACAACACCACCGGGGCCCACTGTGAGCAGTGCCTGCCCGGCTTCTACGGACAGCCTTCCCGAGGTGCTCCAGGGGACTGCCAGCCTTGTGCCTGCCCTCTTGTCACGGCCTCCAACAAGTAAGCCTCAAAGCTCCCCCAGGGGCTCCTGCAGTGGGGCAAGGATCCCCCCACCAGGATGCAGAGCAAGGCTCTGTGTGTGTAATTGGAGTGTCAGTTTTGCCCAGTGGTGATTGATGGAGGGGTGGGTTATCTTCCATTAAAAAAAAGTTTAGCATATTAACGTATGTGAGGAAAGATGTGTGGTAGCAAGGACACAGGCTGACTGTTTCCCTCTTGGTCTACCAGTGGTCATCAGTTCTGTCCAGGTCTATACTGTTCACCTGCACTGGGCTGAGAGATAGAGGGATATGGACAGAAAGAAAACATTGTCCCTGGGCCTAGGGAGTTTTTGATCTAATGACCAAAATTTGTATATGAGGCTACATGAGAATGACCTGAGTTCATTCATTGATTCAACAAATATTTATTGCATGCTTGCTGTGTGCAGGCTGCAACACAGGTGGGCAGAGTATCACGCTGTTCACACCTGGCTACTGGCCCCTGGGGACTTACATGTGGTCTGACTTTAGTGGAGAGCTGAGCACTGGGCAATGGGACAGAGGGAGGTCAGTGCCCAACCTACCTGAGTGGTTGCAGGAATGACCCCAAGGAAGCTCTTCTGTCAGCCTTGAAGGAAAAGGGATTCCACCCAGGGCATAAGTGTTCTGGGCAGAAGGAGCTGCTGCCCCACGGCATGGCAGTAGGAGCAGCACGTCCTGTGAGGGGAATAAAAGGGCCCTGGAGCAGAAGGCCTAGGGGGTATAGATGAGCCTGCTGGGCAAGGCCTTCAAAGCCTTGCTAGGGCATGTGTATCCCACAGGCCAGTGGGACAAAGCCTCTTGGTCTCTCCCTGGTTTAACCCTCAGAGTTCTTTCTCTACCCATTCTACTCACAGGTATTTTTTACCTGACCACTTGCCATAATCGAGGTTACCATCAATCACCCCAGGCAGGCTTCCTCAAGATTCAGAAGTACAGTTTAAAGGGGGTCTTTGGGAGTCTCAGGACCTCCTAACAGTGTAGGGTTTAGAGAGCTCACTCTAACCTGAGTGTGGGCAGGGCTTTGAGGCAGGAAAGTAGTGCCAGGGAGCTCAGGGAAGGGGCCCTGTCTTCCCAGGAGTGTCCGACCAGGCCTCCTGGAGGAAGAGGCAGCTGACTTGGGCATTGAGCAGATCTGGGTTAACCCAGGCAGAGATGGGGAGAAGCATTTCGGGCTGAGAGACAGAGGAGCAGGGAGCAGTGAGTGTCCAGTGTCCAGGAACGCAGGTCAGAGACAGACAAGGCTCAGGACAGGCTGGGTGGCCAGAAACCTCAGGCTCTGAGCTAAGGAGTGAGGACCCATTGAAAATTTGTAAGCACAGGAGTGATAAAAAATTAAGCATTATAAATATTTAGAAATTCTACTCCATCCACTGAAAAATTGCATTCCTTTCTAATATTTTGACAGTTTCAGCCCGACCTGCCACCTTAATGAAGGAGAGGAAGTGGTCTGTGACCAGTGTGCTGTCGGGTACTCGGGAGCTTGGTGTGAGAGGTACTCTGCGTCACTCCACTGTTTGCAGAAAGCTGCATTAACATTTTTTTAAAAGTACATATAGGCTGGGGGCGGTGGCTCACGCCTGTAATCCTAGCATTCTGGGATGTCAAGGTAGGCAGATCACTTGAGCTGATGAGTTCAAGACCATCCTGAGCTAGTGTAAGAACCTGTCTCTAAAAATAGCCAGGTGTTGTGGTGGGCACCTGTAGTCCCAGCTACTTGGGAGGCTGAGGCAAAAGGATCACTTGAGCCCAAGAGTTTGAGGTTGTTGTGAGCTAAGACACCACGGCACTCTACCGAGGGCAGCAAAGCAAGACTTAGTCTCAAAAAAAATTTTTTTTGAATGTGTTTATTTCTAAATTTTACTCTCTGTTTATTTCTAAATATGTAGTAAAATGTGGTTTTGGAGTTTTGAGGTGTGATTATTATTTCATAAAATCATAGAGAAAAACCAATATATTAGTTAAAACTGATTGTTAAAACTTGCTGGTAATTTTTAAAGAATGGTATTCTTTCTCCTTGGGCTAATCTGAGTTCTAACCAGTAACAACAAGAAATAGCAAGGAGTGAGGACTGTGGCTCACCTGAGTGTCCCCCGGCTCTGGGTGATTCTGTAGGAGGCAGGTGGTCTGATTAGTAGCTGTCTTGAAAGCCAGTGTTGTCCTTCCCTGTGTCTACGTCTTCCAGCCCAGGTCTGCGTGCACATCCCTGGATTTATTTCTCATTTTGGACCCTCTCCCTGGATGTCAGGATGGGTGAAAGAGATCTGTGAATACTCAGCACGGGGTTGTATCCCTTTCACAGTAAATCTTAGGGTGAAGCATCAGGCTGATTTATTAGAGTCCCTGCATAATGAGGCAAGGTCTTGAGTAATTGCATGTGTTTGATCCCGCTTTCAATCTTTGATACAGATGTGCAGATGGTTACTATGGAAACCCAACAGTGCCCGGGGAGTCCTGTGTTCCATGTGACTGCAGTGGCAACGTGGATCCCCGGGAGCCTGGTCACTGTGACTCAGTCACCGGCGAGTGCCTGAAGTGTGTGGGGAACACAGGTGGTGCCCACTGTGAAAGGTGTGCGGAGGGCTTCTACGGGGATGCTGTGACCGCCAAAAACTGCCGCGGTGAGTGCCTGGGGCTGTTGTGTATCACCATGGAACGTCCCCGTTCCCCTGCTCACATGTGGTCATGGCTCAGCCTGTCAGGTAGCTTTTTCTTGAGGAGCTAATGCAGGGTCTGTCACTGATCTAAGATAGACCCAAGTCCCAGTTCCTCCCCAACTACACTAAGTTAGCTTGATTAGTTACTGTCCACGAAGGTCAGTGGCCTTAGTGTATTCCCCTTCCATTCAAGGGGAAAGTGGTACAAGGTGGCAGCTCTGCCCCCATGACCTAAATGGAGGAAGAGTGATGCTCAAAGCCCATCACGTGTGTGTGAGAGATGACACCAGGTTGCAGGAGGCTGATGGGATTGGATTCCAAGAGGAAGGGTGGGAAATGGTGCAGCTTTAACCTGGAAAGTGCAGAAAGCATGACATTGGCGTGTCTCGGCAGTATGTGACTCAGCCGTTCTACCTGACCCCACCACGGCTCCACGGAGTCCTGCTTTGAGCCTTGAATTTATGCATCATGGCAAACCACTCACGGAGAAAAGTACATTTTTATATACATGAGACGACTAGCCTGAGGGATGATGCAGCCCTCAGACTTCTTTGCACAGTCCTGAAGAAGGAGCCCAAGAGCGGAAGTGGCAATTATAAATTATTTTGACAATTTCATATAAATGCCCGAGTCCTGCGATGATGTTACAATGTGGAGACACGAGAGGGTGCTGGCCACCCAGAAACCCCATTTTCACAGGCTTGTGTTAGAGATGGAAATGTTTGATAGCGCTGGGCCAGTCAACCTGATCTTCAGCCTGGCAGCCACCTAGAGTGCTGTCCTCCCAGAACAATAGTGATAACTAGTATTGTGGAATGCTGCCAAGTTTACAGAACGCTTTCACAGTCCTCGTGTCATTTCTTTCCATCTTAGCTGCGAGCGTGATGCTTCATTCCTTTGTCCACACACCATTTATTAAGTGCCTAACATTTTCCTGGTGCCATATTAAGTACTGTGATAAGTGGCTAGAGAATTTTGGTCCAAATCCGCTGAGAAGCTACACACGATGATGGTATAGGAGAAAAGCACACTTGTGGCCACCACGCTTTGGAGTCTGACTAATGAGGGCTTGAGTCCAGAACCAACTGTGTGACACTGGGCAAATCTACTAACCTCTCTGAGCCACTATTTCCTTGTACATAAAATGAACATAATTATATGCACATACTAATGCCTTTCTGAGAAGTTAATGGATAACAAATTTTAAGTTTTAGACATTAATTAAATTGTTGCTAATGGTAATTTGTATTATTTTTCTATTCCAATCTGTGCAATAGAAATATAATGTAAGCCACATATGTAATTTAAAATTTTCTAGTAGCAGCCAGGTGTAGTGGCTCACGCCTGCAATCCAGCACTTGGGAGGCCAAGGCAGGTGGATTGCCTGAGCTCATGAGTTTGGGACCAGCCTAAGCAAGAGCAAGACCCTGTCTCTTAAAAATAGCCTGACATTGTGGCGAGCACCTGTAGTCCCAGCTATTTGGGAGGCTGAGGCAAGAGGATCACATAAGCCCAACAGATTAAGGTTGATGCAAGCTGTGATGCCACCACACTCTACTGAGGGTGACAGTGTAAGACTCTGTCTCAAAAAAAAATTTTTTTTTTCTAGTAGCCACATTTAAAAAAGTCAAATGGGTAGAAATGAAATTTTATATTGATTGTAGGGTACTAAAGAGAATTAAGGCATGTAAAGTACTTGGCTAGTCAGTAACTGGCAACTAACTTTTCTAAATTAGAATTATTTATAACATGAATAATATTTCAATTAATTGGTATAATAATGATTACTATAGGGCAGTGGTTCTCAACCTTTCTAATGCTGTGGCCCTTTATACAGTTCCTCTGACCCACAGGTTGGGAACCGCTGCTATAGAGAACTAATAGCTAAGTGACCTATGAAAAGTTATGTAATCTTTATAAGTTTTAGATTTCATACCAAAAAGTACAGAAAATTATAGTCCCTTCCTCCTAAGTTTTCTATGAAGGTTCAAAGAAACACTGAATGTGATGGGGACCCAAACTGACTGGCACATCATACAATAAGTAAGATTTTGTCTTATCACTGATATTTTGTGGTGCTCATGCCCACATTGAATTTTAAATATTCTCCATAGGAAGGGGAAGGTTTAAATGAGACACAGAACTGCAGATAGGGAAGGAGATAGACAAGGAGTGGGAAGTAAACTGGAAAAGTGGGTGTCCCAAAAACCTCAGTAAAGTGAGGTTCAAGGCCAGGCATCATGGCTCACACCTGTAATCCTTGCACTCTGGGAGGCCCAGGTGGGTGGATTGCTTGAGCTCAGGAGTTCAAGACCAACCTGAGCAAAGAGTGAGACCCTGGCTATCCTAAAAGGTAGAAAAAGTAGCCGGGCATCACAGGAAGCTGAGGCAAGAGGATGGCCTGAGCCCAAGAGTTTGATGTTGCCATGAGCTATGACACCACAGCACTCTAGCCTAGGACAACAGTGAGGCTCTGTCTGGAAAAAAAAAAAAAAAGAGTGAGGTTCAAAAGGGAGAGAGAGGCCAATCGGTCTCATTCTACAGAAGGAGTAAGATGAGGGCTGACATGTGTTCTCTGCATTTGGCACCTAGAAAGTCCTTGGAGACTTTAGGAAGAACAATTTCAGCAGACAAGGGGTCAGAAGGACGCTGCGCAGAAGTTGGATTGGCCAGACATGCTAAGAGGAAGGGAGGGTGCTGGAGAGATGGACCCGCAGATGGAGACTAACCAGGGGCAGGGTCATTTTGTGCTTGGTGGGGGAGAGTTGAGCAGGGACGTGTGCTGAGGAGTCAGCAGTACAGTGCTCAAAGGCAAGCCATGGGAATGACAGAGCAGGTCCCTGCAGGGCCCCACCGAGCTGCTTCACAGGACATAGCATTAACTCACTTACACCAGGAAAACAGAAGGTGACAGAGTGGCCCAGAGGCCTGTGCAGGGCTGGCCACAGCCAGGGAGGGAGGAGGAGGTAGGTACCAGTGCCTTCTGAGACCAGCCTTCTGGTTTCCAGGGTCCTCCTCCCACCACACCGCCCCACCACCACCCCCCGCCTGCTGCCTGTGGACTGTGCATGGGATTTCCCTGTTTTTTTCTTTTTTTATTGTAGCTCTGTCACCTTGGGTAGAGTGCTGTGGCATCACAGCTCACAGCAACCTCAAACTCTTGGGCTAAAGTGATCCTCTTACCTTAACCTCTGGAGTAACTGGAGCTATAGGTGCCTGCCACAGCACCCAGCTAATTTTTCTATTTTTTTTTAGTAGAGACAAGGGCTCCCTCTTGCTCAGGCTAGTCTTGAACTCCTAGGCTCAAGCAACTCTCCTGCCTCAGCCTTGCAGAGCACTAGTTTTACAGGCATGAGCCACTGTGCCCAGCCAGGCTTAACCTTCCTTGTGAAGTTTGTTTTCTCTTCTTACGTTGTTATACCATGACAGACATTGTACATTTCCTGAGAGCAAACGTTCATAAATAGTGGCTGGGACATTTCGTCAGTGAACACAATGAAATATTTTAACTGAGGCAAATAATGACAGTTGTGATATTGCCTTAACATTTCTTGGACCCATTAAATCCCATCACTTTGAGAAGAACTCTGTAGCTTTAAACATCAATGTGTTAACTTCAGATAAATCTGAAATGTCTGTCCTGAAACTACAAATGATTCATGGCTTAGAATCATTGGAACGGAAAATGTTTTTAATTATAATTTTGAAATAAAATATTAACATGTACTTATCTAGATCACATGATAACCAAGCTTTCAAATACTAAATCCATGTATGATTGGAATGAGAGTGTATGGCCAAGCTGATGTTGAAATCCCCATTGCATGATTATCCATGGAAATCTGCAGGTCACTTAAAAACTTTTAAGGAATTCATTCAAGTGGTCAAGTTTCCAGTTACTATCTTGATAGGTTCAATTTTTTTTTCTGTGACAGCTCCTTCTACCACCCCTGTTTGGTTTTACTTTTGAGATAAATGCTGAATTTTTTAAATTATTGCAAATTATACTTATTTTTAGCTTTGTGATTAGAAATATTGAATGTTTACATTTTTTCCTCTGGGGATTAGACTCTTAGGGTCCCACACCCAGATGTGAATGTTAATATGTCTTTTGTGCATGTGTGCCAGCCTGTGAGTGCCATGGGAAGGGCTCCCTTTCTCCCATGTGCCATCTGGAGACAGGACTTTGTGACTGCAGACCACACGTTACTGGACAGCAGTGTGACCAGTGCTTGGTAAGATGCTTGTTGGCCATCGCATGATATTAAAATATTTGTCAGTTAGCTGGGCACAGTGGGTCACACTCTAATCCTAGCACTGTGGGAGGCTGAGGTGGGTGGATCGCCTGAGCTCAGGAATGGGAGATCAGCCTGAGCAGGAGTGAGACCCCGTCTATACTAAAAATACTTAAAGTAGAAAAAACTAGCCGGGTGTTGTAGCGGGTGTCTGTAGTCCCAGATACATGGGAGGCTGAGGCAAGGGGATTACTTGAGCCCAAGAGTTTGAGGTTGTTGTGAGCTAGAGCTATGCTGATGCACGGCATTCTACTGAGGGTGATAGAATGAGACTGTCATAAAAAGAAAGGAGAGAAAGGTGGGGGGAGAGAGAGAAAGAAGGAAAGAAAGGAAGGAAGAGAGGGAGGGACGGAAGGGAATTTGTCTGACGTTTACAATCGACACCTTGGCCTTGGTTGAGATGAGATTGCTGACCCTGAGCACGGCTGGTGAATGCCGCGTCCGTGTCTGGAGAGTCGGTACTAACTGTGAGGGTGGGAACCGTGTCATGAATGCTTTAGGACTCTGTAAAGCATCCTGTGTGTTTTGGAAAACATGCTGGTCTGTGCAATTGCTTATTAAACTCACCTTGCCTGCTGTGCTTCTCCCGGCAATAGCCTGGCTACTACGGGCTGGACTCTGGGCATGGCTGTCTGCCCTGCAACTGCAGCATGGCCGGCTCCATGTCGGATGACTGCTCCGATGAAGGCCAATGCCACTGTGTCCCAGGTGTGGCTGGAGAAAAGTGTGACAGGTGTGCCCACGGCTTCTATGCATACCAGGATGGCGGCTGTACACGTAAGCTCTTGGATCCCTGGTTTCAGACCTCATGGTTGTTCCCAGACTTCTCTGAGCTTTCCCTCCACTTTTGATTGACTTCTGTAAATTTCCTTTGCTTTTTCTCTTCTTTGTGTGTAGAACTTCATACCTCTCCCTGGTTTCCCAACACCTGTCAGGGTACAAGCATAATCTTTGATCATGGCTGTGCCGCTTACTAATTGTGTGACTTAGATGAGTTATTTAACTTCTCTCACCCTAGTTTCTTCACCTGTACAGTGAGAAGCTAATTATAATCTCCTTAGGAAGTTCTCATAGGGTCATATGGATAGTCCTCCACACGGCGTTGGCAGTAAGTGCTCGGGAAACACTACCTCTGTCCCCTCTGTCCTGCCAGCTAGATCTTTTCCATTCTTTTCTCTGTCTCTCCCCCTCCCATTCCATCCTAATTATCATTCTCCGGTAGCTTCTCCAGACTTGGAGGAATCTTGGGAATCACAGGTGTCTTTTAAGAACTCAAAGAATGGTTCAGACTATAAATAAAAGGTAACTAACATCAACTCTTACCCCTTTGGTTACGCAGATCTGTAACAAAACATTTCCCTTTATTCCAGCCTGTGACTGCCGGGACACACGGAACAGCTGTGACCCAGAGTCTGGAGAGTGCATCTGCCCTCCTCATACTCAGGGCTTGGAGTGTGAAGAATGTGAGGATGACCACTGGGGCCACCACCCAGAGAAGGGCTGCCAGGTGCGTGCTGCCTTCCGTGCGTCCGTGTACCTCAGACTTACTGCCCAACAGCAAGTGGCATTCCTCTCCTGTCACAGTGTCCACTCGTCTTCAGCCTGCCGACTAGCTCTGTGCTTTATATTTAAAACTCAGTACAGATTGTAGGAATCATGTGGAGGATCAACACCTTCATCTTAGTTTTCTGCAAGAGCCTAATTGGGAGATTGATGGTTAAAAAGTCCCCCCTCCCCAGTTTTGTGCCGTTTAAGTAAATCATGCAAGGTACATTATCTTCCAAGAGAAAGTCATAAATCACTTTACCCGGGGGCTGTTTGCAATCTTGAAGAGCTCCAGTTTTCTATATAACTTTCTTCATTTAAATGTGGATATGGTTTGTGTTTTGAGAACAGTAGAGAAACAACTTGTAAAATAACTTTGCTAGATTGTTCTGACCTGCTGTATTTAATTTCACTTCCCAATTTGGGCTAATGTGCCTGTGTCACTGAGATCCCCCGTTGTCTCAAGACACAGTCCCTGCCTCCTGTTGTCACATGGCAAAGAGATTCTGTTTAGCCGTGGCGAGAGGGAGATGGTTCATATCGTTCATTTGCATGACTTTCCCACATCTAGGGTTCCTGTAATCCAAATATGTGTATGTGAAGAAAATATAAAAGATGCCTTTCTGTTTAGTTAGTATTTCTTTTCTCTTAGGCCTGCAATTGCAGTCTCGTGGGGTCGAGTAGCCACCGTTGCGATGTACTCACGGGCCACTGCCAGTGCAAGTTGGAATTTGCTGGATGGAGCTGCGATCAGTGCTCTTTGGGTTACAGAGACTTTCCAAACTGTGTCCCCTGTGACTGTGACCCCAGGGGGACATCAGGAGATACCTGTGACCTGGACCAGGGTCTCTGCAGCTGTGCAGAGGAAACCGGAACCTGCTCTTGCAAGGTATTTGCCGTGGATCGAGCCCTCCGTTCCTCACTCCCACTTGACCTTGTCCCTCTTGGGCTTTGACTATTTCATAAGCAGCTGGGTTTGGACGCTTCTCCTGGTAAGGTCACACTCCCTTCCATGCCTCAGTTTAAAGTCTGATATGCTCTTCTAGAATCACGAGTGATTTCTTAGAAATGAAATTTTAACTGTTAATGACAAGTGTCAGAGTGTGGAACTGCTTTACAGACACTTTTGAGTTTCTGCTCATGTGTAGGTGGCCAATCCGTCTGGAGTAGGCAGGGAAGCCAGATCACACAGGGCTGCAGGCAGGTTTGTGCTATTGCAGCTGTGAGGGTGGCAGCCCCTGAAGTGTGCTGGCAGACTGAGGAAGTTCTTGTGTATTATAATATTTTCCTAGGAAGTATATTTCAATGTCATGTTAAATTTCATCAGTTTCCCCACATTGCCACCTTCTCTAGTTCTTTCCCCATGGTGGGGGAATGGAAGCCCTCTGGATTGGTGGTGGCTTGATGAGGAAGGGGAGACTCGTGTAGAGATCATGTCCTGGGAATAATAACGGAATCATCAGTCTGCCTGCTCTCAGCTACCACATTCATTATAGCAGTTCTCATAAAGGACACTCAGAACAGCAGGGACCTGCCTTAATAGTCACCTGGTCAGTGGTGCCTCGGATCATCAGAAGGATGTGGGGACCTGGGGCGGATCCCAGGGCTCTCCTGGGGGGATGCTTATCAGGGAATCTGTATTTTCCAAAAGCTTCCGAGATGATCCTGATACTCATCTGTGTTTGGGAATCACTGATTGAGTCTTTGGGAGAATTGATCTCAGGGAGGTTAGGGACCCATTCCAAGGAAACCATGATGTTATCTAAAATAACTTTCAGAATTATTTTGTTTTCACTTCTGCATGTTTAGAAATTGCATCTCCTTTATTTGTGGCAAAAATAAGTCCCTTATTTGTTCCCCTTCAGGAGAATGTCATTGGCCTCCAGTGCAGGCAGTGCCGAGAGGGCACCTTTGCTCTCCGCGCCGACGACCCTCTGGGGTGCAGCCCCTGCTTCTGCTTTGGGCTGTCCCACATCTGCTCCGAGCTAGAGGGTTACGTGAGGACCCCAGTAAGTCACAACAGTCAAAGTGTTCTGTTTCCAGCCCCTCTCCCTTTGTGATTTGGGTAGGGGTAGGAGACGTAGTCAAGCACTTCCATTGAATTTTGTTCTTACAGCATCAGAAGTTCTAGGGAGACAATTTGAGTTAGCACGTGAATCAGAACTTCATGTCTGCAGGCCAGGGAAGTAAATGGAGCTTGAACTAAAGGCTTTCAGTGTTGTTTCTTAGCTAATCTATCAAAAGCCTGAGCTGGAGAGAAGATAAAACCTCAACATCTCAACTATCACCTACAAATTACTGAACCTCACCCTAGTTAGCAATAGTTGGACCCTGATTTCAGCAGTTTAAGGCCCTTTTTGCAATTAATCCTTGAATAGTTAAAAAAAAATAAAGCACTTTCAGTTACTTTTAATCCAGAGGTTTTGTTTAAAGGGAAAGTCTTTACTATTCCTATTTTAACAATGAACTGTTTCATCTGCGAGGCAGCGGTGGAACCTGTGAATCAAGCAGTGAGTGGCTAATTCCTTTCTGACCCGTGTTTTCTCTCCCTCTGATGACAGGTAGTGCTGGCCTCAGATCAGCCTCTTCTGCGTGTGGTTTCTCAGAGTAACCTGAGGGGCACGACCGAGGGGGTTTACTATCAGGCCCCTGATGTCCTACTGGATGCTGGGACTGTCCGGCAACACGTCCATACAGAGCCCTTCTACTGGCGGCTGCCAGAGCAGTTCCAGGGAGACCAGGTGAGGTGCACACCCCGCTCAGAGCTGGTCCCTGCTTCCTGGGGGATCTGGAGTTTAAAGTCACCATAGTCTGGGCTGGCCTGTAATTAAAAGAAGTGGCTGTTAATGTCCTCTTTCAAGAGGGTATAAAGAAGTTTAATGTTCATAAAAATCCTCTCAAATGTAAAAATTTTCATTAATTTTGGAAGTCTTTTATTTATTTGTTTATAGTTTTTTTTTGAGATTAAGTCTCACTTTGTTGTCCTTGGTAGAGTGCCGTGACATCATAGCTCACAACAGCCTCAAACTCTTGGGCTCAAGTGATTCTCTTGCCTAAGCCTCCTGAGTAGCTGGACTACAGGCACCCACCACAATACCCAGCTATTTTTGCTATTTTTAGCAATGAGGTCTGGCTCAGGCTGGTCTCGAATTTTTTTTTTGAGACAGAGTCTCATTTTGTCATCCTGGGTAGAGTGCCACTGTGTCATAGCTCATGAGCAACCTCAAACTCTTGGGCTCAAGCGATCTTCTTGCCTCAGCCTCCCTTCCTAAAGCAATCATTCAACAAACATGCACCACTAGTGACAGGGATACTTTCTGAGCATTAAGTCATTGGGTGGTTTCACTGTTGTGCTGATATCACATACCTGGCTGTATAGCCTGCCATACATCTAAGCTGCCTGTTGGCGTCCTGAATACTGTAAAGCTCCTGTAAATCAATGGTTAAGTTTCTGTGTATCTAAACATGGAAAAGTATATTGGTCAAAATGTCATCATGCAGCACTTGAGTGCATCGTATTTACTACTTTAAGGTCCATCCAAGCCCAGCCGCTGGGGCGTGAGAGGCCCTTCTCTGGAACATCACGCTTGGGGAGGAAAACCCGACCAGGGAGGAATCATGAAAGGCATTACTGGTGTTCTGTTTATATGAACATTGGAGCCTATATTTGAATTCACCCTGATCTCTAAAATTCATAAATATATATCCAGCGCTCCTTTAGATATAGGTAATTTTTAATTTAAAGGAGCTTGAAAATAATTAAGAGTGATACCGCATTGATATGTTATTTGGTATTTGGGAACTCACCCTTGCTGGTATCATTGAGAGCTGTGGGTGATTATGACAGGTGCATGTCATAATTCATAATTAAACAGAATCAGAAGGAAGCAAATTCCAGACGACATACTTCACCCATGTCATGTATTTTTAAGATATAAGATTTCTCTCACACGACAGCAGACTTGCAGTGAAATGTTTTTAAACCAAGGCTGTGTCAAAGGAGTAACGACTCTATTATTTGACAGCTCATGGCATACGGTGGCAAACTGAGGTACAGTGTGGCCTTCTATTCCTTGGATGGTTTTGGCACCTCCAATTTTGAGCCTCAAGTTCTCATCAAAGGGGGCCGGACCAGAAAGCAAGTTATTTACCTGGATGCACCAGCTCCGGAGAACGGAGTGAGGCAGGAGCAGGAAGTCGCAATGAAAGAGGTGAGAGTGTGATCTTTTCATACAGGTCGCTCGAGGGTGCGAACTTTGCTGTGGTTGTGATGAAAGCTGGAAGCCGCTTAAGAACATGAGCAAGAAGCCCTGGAGCAGAATTCCAGTGGGTTTAGCAAGATTGCTAAAAACTACTCAGATTTCATATTCTCAAGAAGTGTATATTAGGCTTATGTTAATTTGGTGGGAATTGCATCTTACATCCTTTCTCTGGTAGCCAGTATAGACATACTGGTGCAGAAATCCTTTGGACGTGGCTGGAATTTGTGGGGTGTCTGTTCATTGTCCCTGCAGATATTCTTTGGGCATTTCCTTTGTGTGGCTAGCACTGCCTTCTAACGTGTGTCTATCGATAACTGAGACTGATGCCACCTGCCACTGTGGAGGTTACAGGGTGTATTCGTTGCTCAAACCTAGTGATGTGCGTGGAAAAGGGCTCCTTTCTGGAGAAATTTATAAAAGAAACACGTTCTCTGGAAGCTCTTTTGCCAGTCGGAATTTATACTCTGAACTTAATTGAATGTGTTTCTCATCCACAGAATTTTTGGAAATATTTCAACTCTGTTTCTGAAGAACCTGTCACACGCCCAGATTTCATGTCTGTCCTCAGCAATGTTGAGTACATCCTCATCAAGGCATCATACGGCCAAGGACTGCAGCAAAGCAGGTACTCGGGAGCTTCTAGGGGTCTGAATATTTTCCTGCTTTGAAACCAAACTGAAAGCATTTGATTCTCTTCAGTCCCGTCACCTGGCGTCTTCATCACTAATGTGAGTTCCGTTCCTCATCAGAACTTGTTAGGTGTGGAAGGTGTGAGTTACGGCTTCCACTATTGCATGCCGATGGAGATGTGAAATATAAGTACATATGGTGGCATCTTAGGTGAAGATAAAATGCAAAAGTTTTTTGCTATTTTCTGCCCTTGAACCTGCACTGATGCCCATTTCTTTGCAATGATGTGGAAAGAACGTTGCCACTTACTCATTTACTACTTCAACCTGTGAAGAAAGCCGTTCATCGCCCAGTAAAGAGGGAGACCATGTCTCAAAAAATGGATAAATGTTTAAAAAGAAGCCAGTAAATCTTGGCCAAATCAGTACTTGAAGAGGTCTTTTGGGCACACTTCTGTAATACTGTTGTCAAGTGTACACTGCCTGACAGTGTAATGACAGTACATTGTGCTTTAACGTATTTCACTTACAACCGTGAGCAGTGACTGCTCCCAGCAGGGCGCAAGCTCTGGTTTAACGTACGTGCAAATCTCACCCCCGCGCGTGTCTCTACAAAGTCTCCCCAACCTTAGCGTTTCCTCTCTTACTTCTGCGTGTAATGTTTGTGCAGGATCTCAAATATTTCGATGGAGGTTGGCAGAAAGGCTGAAGAGCCGCATCCAGACAGAGAGGTGGCGTCCCTTCTAGAGAACTGTCTCTGTCCCCCTGGCACAGCGGGATTCTCCTGTCAGGTAGGGAGATTTCAGTCAAAGTCTATTTCCTGGCCTAGGGCTGAAATGTGCTTGAAACTCCAAGCCACGGACAGAACTCAGGTGTCTCTATTATATCATTTTTTCTCTTTTTGAATTTAAAACAATGAATTTTGGTAGGAGATACATAGCACAACATTTATCATCTTAAACATTCTGAAATGTGCAGGTCAGTGGTATTAAGTATGTTTTACAGCCTATCTCCAGAAAATGCTTGTCAGCTTGCAAAAGTGAAAACTCTGTACCCATTCAACAAGTCCCCACCCCAGCAGCCACCACTCTACTCACTGTCGCTATGGACTTGGCCACTCCAGGTGCCTTCTGCACGTGGAATCAGGCCGTGTTTGTCTTTCGTGATTTTGTGCCTGGTTTATTTCACTTAGCATAATGTCCTCCAGGGTCACTCATGTTGTGGCATATGTCAGAATTCCATTCCTGTCTGCGGCTGAGTAATCCCTGTGTTCCTGCAATCCTCCCTGTGTGCCTGCGTTCCCCCTTGAGTGCCCACCTGCGATCCTCCCTGAGTGCCCACCTGGGTTCCTCCCTGAGTGCCCACCTGTGTTCCCCCGAGTGCCCACCTGCGTTCCCACCTGAGTGCCCACCTGCGTTCCCACCTGAGTGCCCACCTGTGTTCCCCGCTGAGTGCCCACCTGTGTTCCCCCC